TCGCAAACCTGACTTAAATTCGATTAAATATTAATATAAATTATGAAACATTGTGGAGCCACTTGTTTGGGGCTCCACTTGTACAAAGGGCTCCACTTTGTTTGTGTATGTCTGGACTACTGGCTCTACTTCTACGTCTACACCAACACACACACACACACACACACACACACACAGACAGACACACTAACTGCCTTTTTGTGCTTCGCACACAGGAGTCAAAAATTCAGCAAAAAAACAAAATTTGAGATTTTGACATGAAATGAACAAATCTGAGAGAGAACCATCCAAAGTACTTGCATATCAAACTTCAAAACTTTCTGACTTGCAGTTTCAAAGAAGAAGTTGAAATTGTAAAGTTGACGCCAACAACGGATGACAACGACGGACAATCAGTAATATGAACAGCTCCTTTCAGTCACAATTCAAGACAAATAAAATAAAATATAGATAATATAGCAAATTATTCTTTTCTGTGATATTCATGTGTAATCAGTAATTATGAAAATAATTTATGGGTACATATGTAGTACATTTTGTTATGAATTATTCTTAATAGTATAAATTTCTAAATTATCTTCTCAAAATCAGTTTTTTTCAGGGTTTTTTCCCCCAAAAGACGAAAGAATTTCATAATGGGAAGTCTGTTTTTTATTATTATTTATTGGGAATGGAAAGTCAATATCATAGTGCTTCGCCTCAATTGACAATGAGCTCTTTGGGACGTTAAAACTGTATGTCCACCTCTGTTAGGGTAAACATTTGTATTATTATACCGAATAAATCCTAAAACAGAAAATGTGGCACTCAATCATGGCAATCTTTCCAAGTCATCGTTAGAAAGATTTTCGGAGGCAAATTTAATCTTCATTCAAGGCTATCTTGAAGGATTGCAGGAAATTGACCCTCACCGATTCATATTTATGAATTAATTGGGATTCAGGCACCATAGTGTTCGTAACAGTGTATTCCTAAAAATACGCAAAAAAAACGAACTATTAC